AGGGTCTAGTTGTCATAATGGAAATGATTGACCATAAGAACTAAATTTAAGGAAACAGACTGTGTGTCAAGCAGATATTTTTGCATCAGGAGCTTTCCTGAGAGGACCTGTCATAGCTGGTCCTGTGCAGATGGAGTGCAGTGAGAAATACACCTGCTTGGCACACAGTCTATTTTGCACATGGTTCATTCCTTTCTGGATCAGAAGTTCAAGATTGTGGAAAGTTATAGCAGGTGTTAGGAATATTCTACCCTGTGTGAGCTGTCTGTGTGTGCGTGTGTGTGTGTGTGTGTGTGTGTGTAAAATGTGCTTTTTCACTTGTGAATGCTACACCAATTCCATATTCTTCCAATAGAACTGTTGTTTCAATCATAAGTCTTGGATATGCTTTTGTTTGCTGACCTAATTGCCTGGTATCTTTTGATTGAGATGCGGGTTTATTTAATGGAATGCTTTTCAAGAATTTGTATCCTGAGTACATCCAAATTTTTCTCTGTTTTTAGCCCTGAGCCAAGAACAGATCCAGAACAATAGCACAAACGCCAGTTCTCTTCTGATCATCTTTTGATTGAGCCCTGGAGGTTTTAGATGCTGTCTTTGGATAGATGAGTTGCTGGGACTCACTCACAGTCACATGAAAATGAATGAGATTTAGTTTCTACAGCGTGGGCTTGCCCTGAAGTGAAGGGTCCTGCTACTTTCAAACACACGGCATCTCCTCTGCAAGAACCCTTGAAACCTCCCCTTGCACAGTAGGCTGCCAGGTCTCTCTGCCTACTTCTTTAGTACTAGCAGAAGCAGGAAGTATCATGAGATTCCATTTCCCATCCACTGGTCTTGGTTTGTTCTTAGAGTTTTCATAGCTATGCCTCTCACCTTCCACACAGAAGACCAGCAGAGGGTGCATTCACTGTGCTTGCGAGAGGGAATCCTTCAGATGTGACTGGAAGCCGTTCCTGCTTTGACTTTGTCAACAAGGGCAGTTTACACACAAGGCATAGCACTGGTCATTGGATGAAATAGGTCAGGCAGGGCAGAGACGGAAGGTCCACTTCAGCACTATTCATTCCCGAAACCTTCGGAGTAAGTGCAGCCCAGTCCTCAGCCTCAGATGTGAGAATCATTTCAAGATGCCTGTAGTTGGTTCAACGGTTCCTTCTCAGAGGACATGCTCACATGCAAATCTTGGTGACCGGCCCATGCGACGTTATGTGAATAAAGGGTCCCTGCAGATGTGATAAAGCTGAAGATTTTGAGATGAGATCATCTTAGACCCCATGGGTAGGCCCTAAATAGAGCCGGTGTCTTTATAAGATCACACAGGAGAAGGCCACTGTGCTAGTCAATTCTCTAAAGGAGCAAAACGGAGACTGGATGCATGTGTGGGCATGGTGCACACACACACACACACACACACACACACACACACGTGGATTTACAGGAGGGGCTTACAGGCTGTGGTCCGAGTATCTCACTAATGGCTGTCTCCAACAGAAAGGCTGAAGAATGAGTTGTTCTGTCCATGAGACTGGATGTCTCTGCAGTCCCGAGCTGGTGTTGGAATCCCTGGGAGGTCCTAGAGACCTGCCAGTTTTCAGTCTATGTTGGAATCCCTAAGAATTTGTTCTAACTCAAGCAAAGGAATGAATGGCTTAGCAGGATTGATGGACTTGCCAATGAGAACAAGGGCAGCCAAGTGAACAGCAAAAACTTTCCTCCTTACATGTCCTTTAACGTGGGCTGCCAGCAGGAGTTATGGACCAGATATTGGGGGGGGGGTCTTTTGCCCTCAAAGGATTCAGATTCAGGGAGCGCCTCCCACCTCAAATGATCTAATGTAGAAACATCTCTCACAGGTGTGCCCAGATGTTTGGAATTAGTTAATTCCTGATGTAGTCGACAACCATCTTAGCCCGTGATAGTGAAGGCAGAGACCAGAGTGACGTCATAAGCCATGGCAGCCAAGGAATGCATCAGAAGCCAGAGGAGGCAAGAAAAGACCCTTCACATAGCTTTCAGAGAACACATGGCCTTGTTGCTACCTAACTTCTGGGCTTTTGGCTTCCAACATAGCATAGAAAAATTCCTGGATTTTTGGGTGTGTTATGTGTATCGACACATGCTTATGTGTGTGTGTATGTACATGTGGTATGCACACGTATGAAGGTCAGAAGTTGGTGTTGGGTATCTTCCTCAAATGCTCTCCACCTTATTTTTGAGACGTTTCCCACTGAACCTAGAGCTCACTGAGTGTTAGATTGGCCTTTGTCTCTTAAGTGATGGGATTTGACATATCTGGCTTTTACATGGGTGCTGTTGTTGGAACTCAGGTTCTCATGCATGCGTTCCAGCCCCTTTACAAACCCATTTCATGAAACATCTCCCCAACTGAACATTTCTGTTTTTTAAGTAATCTGGTTCTGTGACTTTTTATTGCAGGCCTAGGAAGTGTGTTCCCACCATGCAGTATGTAGTCTCTGCGGGACAGCCCAGAGTACTCCTCCCTTGCGTCGCTGTCCTCTTCAAAGGCTGCCTCTTTCTTGGGATGCCTCTTGGTTTCCATGAAGTGCTGAGGTGGAGAAGGTGACCCTGTGCCTCCACAAACTGTGGTGGGGAGGGTGGAGGTGGAATAGAGGTGCGGGGAAAAGGCACACGTTAATAATGTGTTTCATCACGTGTCACTAATGTGTCAGTCGTCCTGAAATATGTGTGAGGGCAGCTGTCCTCTACCTCACCTTCCCAGACCTCCAAGAAGCTTCCTTTGTATCTAGGTGAGCACCAGCTAGTTGACAGACCGCTCAGAGACTGAGTGGCTTCCCCAAAGGTGCTAAGTACAGGGTTGCTGGGCTTCCGTGACAAAATCGTGTTGGGATCCCATGATAGGATTAAGTAAAGCAGCTTTGCCAACAGGAAAGGTCCTCAGACAACATTCCAGAATCGTATTCCAGGTCTCTAGATGGACGGCCTTGACCCACGAGCAAGACTGCCTGTTCCAGAGTTCGTTTGTCCTGATCTCCTTAGACTTGTGAGCGTTTTTCAGGGACCACAACCAGGTCACCAACAACTCTGCCACTAATCTGTCAGCAGTCCTGAAAACTATGAGGGGCAGCTGTCACCCAGCCTCTGGACTGTCACCACAGCTGCTCTTTAAGTTTCCCCTCTGTCATGTGCCCCAGAAAGCTTTGGCCTTTGCAAAGGTCAGCAGCTGCCGTCATAGGCCATGTAGGCTGCTGGAACTTCTACCATTTAAAGGCAGCGTGTGTATAGGCCAGAAACCCACATCGAGTGTCTCCCTTTATTTTTTGCCAGGGTTTCTCACTGAAGCCAGAGCTTCCTGATTTGATTAGACTGGCTGGCCAGCAAGGTCCCATTGCTGTTTTCTCCCCAGAGTTGGGATTATAGGTTCACGTCACTGTTTCTGGTTTTTAACACAGATACTTAGGAATTCAAACTCAGGTCCTCGACTGGTGGGGCAAGCACTTCACCAACTCACCCAGTCATCCAGCCCCAGAATGGGGCTTCTAAAGGAACCTTTGTCTACTTTAATGGATGTCACAGCCACAGACTGGCAAACCCATGGTCTTTGAGAAAAGCAAAATTAAAAAGAAATACATGCGCAAATTACTCTGAATTTTCTATGACTTGTAGCTAAACACAGTTTAATGAAATAATTATTGAAGGAAGATATACAATTGTGGGCAATGTATAAGTCCTCAGTGTTGCTGATTTGTGTATTTGACACAGAGTTTTGATAGGTTACCCAGACTTGGAATTCTCCTTCCTCGGCTCTCCAAGTGGGTGGAGAAAATTGACATTATTTATATGCATGTTTATAGTTCTAGGTGCACTAGAACATTGTAAGGGCACAGGTTTCTAAGACACTGAGTGTGATACCAGGCCTACCGACTGATTTTTAATTCTTACAAGCTGTTATCTCGATTTCTGAGGAAACCGAGGCTTTCAGAGTTTAGCAACATCCCCAAGTTACCCAGATAGATGCAGCCAGCTTGGGGCACAGAGCCTGGTCTGTCTGCAGTCAGAGAAGACGAGGCTATCACATAAACAGAACACCGTCAGCTCGAAGCACAGTTCTTTCTAGAGCACTTTAAAAAGTGCTTCTTTAACATTTTTATTAGATTATTTCATGCGTATGAGTGTTCTGCTTGCTTGTATGTGTGCACACCACTGACATGCTTGGTGCCCTTGGATGTCTGAAAAGGACATTGGACCCCCTGGAACTGGTGCCCTTGGAAGTCTGAAAAGGACATTGGACACCCCCCCCCCCCCGGAACTGGAGTTAGAGATGGTTATGAACCACCAAAGTAGGCCCTAGGTATCAAACCCAGATTCTCCACAAGAGCAGCCTGTGCTGTGAAGCTGAGAACCTGTGTTTCTTTCAGCCCTGATGTTTCTTTTCAGATAAATACTTTTTAAAATAAAAATTCAGATACACTGATAAATCGACCCTGGGACTAGATACGTTGCTAGGAATGTCATGTTTATCTTCCAGATCTGGGTACCTCCCATGAACATCCCTCTTATTGTGCATGCTTAGCGGAAATAAACTGGAAAGAACTCTTGCACAGTCTTCCTGGGGTTGCTGTTAGTTTGTTATGTGACCTATGCCCTAGATAAAGTGTTGCCAATCTGCCCTCTGGGAATCCCAATGAGGTTCTGCAGCAGCGATCTTCAGAGCAGCACACTTTTGTGTCCACATAAGAGGATTTTGTCAGTCATTTTTTATTAGTTGGCTTCCTCTCCTCTCACCTGTGGCTGAGCGTGGCTTCTGGGGATCTTCAAAGAGAGGTGCTCACATAGAGAATGAGGCAGTCCTTCCCAGCAGGGCTGTTCTATTTACAGCCTGCATACTGCGCTGTGCCAGCTGCCACACATCAGGGAGGCCAGGGAAGTTTCTTTGAGGGCTTGTCCAGCTATGCGAGTCACGTGGGCTGGGGCCCTTTTCCCTTGGGCCCTGGTACAGTCAGTACGGGTGTCTCTCCAGCGTGCAGGCTACAAGGCTGCTGCCCCAGAAAGCAAAGATTCCTGTAAGGAGGTTTTGAGGTCTCACCTGCCACAATGACGGACAGAAGCCCCTTTGAGACAGACATGCTCACCCTGACCCGCTACGTTATGGAAAAAGGGCGGCAGGCCAAAGGGACTGGGGAGCTCACACAGCTGCTCAACTCCATGCTGACTGCCATCAAAGCCATCTCCTCGGCTGTGCGCAAGGCTGGCCTGGCTAACCTGTGAGTCCCGGAGAGCATGCACGCTCAGGCACAACTGCCCAGAGCCCCAGGCCCGGGCCAGGGTGTGGGACCCACAGCTGCTGGCAGTAGAAACCCGGTCCAAAGCTAATTTGCCTTTTGCGCCCCAAGGATGCTGCATTTAAATCCTTTGTTTCTGCTTTGATAAGGCAGCCTTTGGCATATTTTGCCAGAAAAGGGGAAAAATGCTTAGTGGGAAGCTATGGAGAAAAGTGGGATTTTTCCTATGACCACTGATTATAATGATAACATCTGTTGCCCCCAAACCTATGTTGAATTCTCATGACTTATATTTGCATGGACAGATTCTTACTGGGACTTTAAAGTGTGTTTGGTGCCGTTTTCCTGTACAAGTGTTTGGTCTCGTGACCTCTGCCGGCAGGGTGGGAGGTAGAGGTCACCAGAACAGATTTACAGGGCCCTGGCTGTCATGGAAGGAGTCTGTTCTCCTCATCTTCATGCGGTCTGTGAGAATCTGGACATGCTGGGCTGGGGCAGGCAGAGCAGAATGTCTCTGATTGGTTCTCTTTTGCAGAATGAGGTCAAGTTCATGCTGGACTGCTGGGGGCCACAGGCAGGGCTCTGGTTTTAAACCACGATGAAGAGAAACCAACTTCTTTTGGGCTTCTGTTTTGATTGCAGTAATTCCAGTGAAGGCTCTCTTGGAAGCTGAAGGGGTGGGGTGGTGTGGGAAAACCCCCAAATGGAGAGCCAACAGATTCCACCCATTTGAATATTTATTCTTAACAGTGCGGCACCTTTAATCCCCAAACCGTGACAGTGTTAATATCATAAATGCCATTATCAAGCCATTAACAAGCTCAGTATATGAGTGTTAAGGACTGGTCGTGGGATCCACGTTAAAGACGCTTGTCTCCTCTTACCCTTAACTGTATCGTTACCTCACTTGGCAGAACGGCCAAACTCTGCCTTTAAGAATACGCTTCCAGAATGTGAGTTGCCTTCACGCATGATGCTCGCCCTGAGTGATATTAGATAGCACCTCTGCCTCTCCTGTGTCCCAACTCTGCTATAATTAGGGTGGCTGCCTGTGACCCGTCAGGATTCTCACCCACACTTATACCGCTCCTCTGGGCAGGCTTCTCAGTACCACAGCTGCCTTGGCAGGGCTCTTATCTACCGGCTGCAACCACTTCTCCGTGGTTTAGTGTCCGACCAAGGGGTCTTAGGGACTAGATAGTTAAGCGCTTTATTCAACTTGGCTTCCCTTACCTTGTGGCTGTGGACAATGGTTTTTTTTCTTGCTGAGACCTCCATGTTTGTGAACTGGGGAGGTACTTACCGCTCTAACTCACAGGGTTGCCGTAAGGGTTAGTAACCTATTGTGATGACAATTCTCACAGTGCCAGGCCTGGGGTAAACACTCAAGAAATGCCACCACTTAGCTACCATGGTTCCAAGCCCCGACTGCAAGAAATCTGAAGCCTGGCCTATGTGGTGATTGACCACTAGGTGGCAGGCACCACTCTAGAAATGGTTTTAGTCTGGGCCGTAGGCCCTTGGACGGGCCCCTCACAGAGGATAGTAGCCACAGCTGAGGACACAGGTACTGCAGGTGTCCTGGCATTGTCTCGTGTGGGTTTGTCCAGGTGTTTGGCACGGTGACAGTGTACTGTGGTCGACAGATGGCTACTACGTTCATAGCCACCCTCGGATGCACATGGCCTATGGGCTGCAGGCTGGACATTTGTCCAGTTCTTCATTCTCCAGCAGCAGCTGCCCCAAGGCTCCTTATTACACACGAGGCTGTGATCCTGATGAAAATAACCTGATTTTATCGTACTGTTGTTACTGGCTTGCATACTTCTGTCTTAAACCAAGGGGTCATGCCTTTGAGGTCATGCTACCAGGGTTGTTTCCTAGGCTCATCATACCCGACATCAAATTCTGGCTGAGGGTGAAGTGGAATGGGGGCTGTAAGTCAGGAAGGAGAGGGAATGTGTTTGCTGTAGGTAATTACGGTCCATCAGTGGTTCTCAACCTGAGCACCTGTTTACATCACCTGAGGGTTTCTTCAACAAGTGAAATTCAAATATACAGAAGAGGGTAAGAGGCTTTTTTTTTTTGCTATGCTTTCTCCATATTGCAGTAAATGTGTTATGTGCACAGACTATGGGAATGCAGACAGCAGGACATGGCTCTTGTTCTTAGCAAGTAGATAGTACAGAAGGGCATCCTCCACCATGAGGGAACCCCAGAGGTGTGCCTGGTGCAGAAATGGGACATGGAGAGTTCTTAAGGTGCTTAGGAAGAGTAGAAGCAAAAATCACGTTTTGGGGATGGCAGGAGCAGAGGTAAGGAGAGGAACAGCACCTGGGGTGGAGCGTGGCAGACGAAACAGGGGTCTATGCTGGTGGAACTGGAGCAGCCCAGGCAGGATTGACAGTCTCGCTGCTGGAGTGGAAAGTGGAGATACCGAGGCTGATCTAACATGCTGACATCCATGTAAGGACTTGGCTCTGAGTGTGGGCTAGTTAGCTCCCATGTTGTGGTAAAGGCCATGATCAAAAGCAACTTGGAGGAGGAAAGAGTTTATGTCACCTTACAGCATGCAGTAAGAGAGACGCCAGAGCAGGAACTCAAAGCAGGAAGTTTACGGCAGGAACAGAAGCAGAGACCATAGAGGAAAGCCGTTTACTGGCTTGCTCTTCGTGGCTTACTCAGCCGCTTTTTTTTTTTTAAATAGAACCCAGAACGTCCTGTTCGGGGGTGACAGCACAACACAGTTGGATTGCCCCCTCCCCCATCAGTCAGTAATAAAGAAAATGTCAGGTGGACACTCCCACAGGCCGATCTCGTGAACCTCAGTTGAGGTTCCTTCTTCCTAGGTGAATCTGGTTTGTTTCAAATGACAATTAAAGTAGCACAGAGTGAGGTGAGATTGAGCCTATCACTGGGAACACCCTGAACAGGTGAGACATGAGAGGGGATGGCTGTATGTTACTGTTCTGAGGCACAAGACTCTGGGGAAGTTTAAGGCTGAAGCTTGGTGCTCCAGCGTAGAAAAGCTATGCCATCTTTAGTTACCATGATCGGTGTGTTTTAGGGGCTCTCCCATCCTTCCTAGCTTCAAGCGCCAAGCAGGGGCTTGCATTTTCGTGAGGCTGAATTCTGTCAATCTCCCTAGGAGACTAAGGAAATACGACAATTGCCCCCAAGGTGTAAAGGAAGTCATGTTGAGTGCCAGTTCTTTGAGTCATAGCACACTCCCTATATTTTTATAATTTGGACATGGCAGTGTCACGGAAGGAGAGTGGGTATGCTGTTGATTTGGACCCTGGGCACTCTTTTACTGGAGTTACGACTCCTTCAATGACTTAATGCACAGTGTCTTCTCAGGTACGGAATTGCAGGGAGCGTGAACGTGACTGGAGATGAAGTGAAGAAACTGGACGTGTTATCCAATTCCCTGGTCATCAACATGCTCCAGTCCTCCTACAGCACCTGCGTTCTAGTCTCTGAAGAGAATAAAGAGGCAGTCATCACAGCCAAGGAGAAGAGGGTGCGTCCCCGGTGGACTGCAGTACCCTGCGTTGTCAGTAGATGGTGCTACTGGGATGAGAGAGTGGTTATCTTGCTTAGTCTTTTTCCGGAATTTTCTTGCCTTCGCATCTTATTCTTCTTTTGGGGAAGAGCTATCTATACATACAGTACACTCTGATTCAGTCCCTCAGTATTTCTTAGCTATGGCCTTCACTACACATGTCCTCAAGAAAACTGGGATTTGTCAGAGGAGGTAGACCAATCCAGGAAATAATTCATGATGATCCCATGCTTTTGACAGAGTTATCCGGTACAGGGAGAAGGTTTACATTCACCAAATTCACAACTATTTGTTAAAGAGTGAAGTTTCTAGTGGCCAAAACTGCAGCCAACATTCAATCACAGTATTGTTCTGGTTAGTTTTTGTCAACCTGACCCCAACTAGAGTCTCCTGAGAAGAGGGAGCCACAGTTGAACTACCGCCATCAGATTGGCTCATGGGCAAACTTGTGGACATTTTCTTACTTTAACGTTGATGTGTGAGGCCAGCCTATGGTGGGCTGTGCCCTCCCTGGGAAGGAGGTCCTGGGTTGGTAAGGAAGCAGGCTGAACCTGCCATGAGGGTTGCAAGTCAGTAAACAGCATTCCTCCGTGTTTCTGCTTCAGGTCCTGCCTTGGGCTCCTGCCTGGGCTTCCTTTGATAGTGGAGGTGTAAGTTAAACTCTTTCTGCCCAAGACTGGTTTGGGCCAGAGTGTTTTATGACAGCAAAAGAGAAACAAAAAGCTCTGTGTTCTGTGCTGACCTATTATTCTTTGTCACACACACTGGACCCGGGCCAGAGTGGTGATGGTGGTGGTGGTTTCTTTGTAACTGGAAGAACTATGAAGATGAGTAAAGTCAAATTTATTAAGCCCTTTACCCGTTTTACATAACCCACATCACATCTGCTATCCTCAGCTTTAAATTTCAGCTGGTATGGTTCTCAGCCCTCTCCACCAGTATCTATCACTCCTGCATGTTAGGTTTTGATTGTATCCTAACCTACTTTCTATGCCAGGAACAGTCGAAGATCTGCCTGCCTGGCATTCTTCTGCCTAGTTCTTCATGTGCCTGCTGTCCCAGCTAGGTCTATCCTCAGATGTTAGCTTTGCCTGCCTTCTACCCACACACATGCTTAAATTATGCACACGGCACTTGCCACACCTGTGTGCGTGTTTGCCTGTGTATCGTGTTTTGGAGCTTGAACGTCAGTTCCCCCACCTGAGCCCCGCAGCATGTGATCCTTAGAGCATTTTCCAGCACATCACACACACCTGTGGAGCTATGCCCATAAGCAGCGGCTTTCGGGAACGAGGAAATGGTGGGTCCATGGGTCTAAATCTCTGATTAGTGTAGATATCGGTCACGTGTCATTGTGGTGATGGGCGGGCGTGCTGACTGGGTGCTTTTCTCTATGATTTAGGGGAAGTATGTGGTCTGCTTTGATCCCCTGGATGGATCTTCGAACATTGACTGCCTGGCCTCCATTGGGACCATATTTGCGATCTACAGAAAGGTGAGTAGATAAGCTGGCATCTTTCCAGATAGTTCTGAGACTGACAGCTGAGCCTGGAGGCCTGTCTTTTCCTCCACTCACTGGACACAACACTACAGGCAGCTCCAGAAACATAGCAAGCCCCTGCCAGGGTTCTCCACTCTCCATTACCTTCTCCTAGTGTCTCCGGGGAGGGCAAAATGGCAGGACTCCCACGGGACCTTGTTTTGATTGTCTGGATGGAACAGACATGCCAGGCACCGCACAGACTGGACATCCTTTATCCAAAGTGCAGGGGAACCAGAAGTATTGATGTTTCAGGTTTTAAAATATTTGTAAATACATAATAAGTTGTTTTAGGGATGAACACAAAATTCATTTTGTTTCTTACACTCCTTGTACCCATCACCTGCATATGACTTTACACTATATGCTTAGTGCACCTGCAATTTGAGCTGCCTACAGCACCAGAACAGGTGTAGAATTTGCCTTGCATGATCTCTGCTGACACTTAAAAAGTTCTAGATTTTAGAGGATCTTATTTATTTATCTTTCTCTCTTTTTTATTTCATATGTGTTTGTGTTTTTCCTGAATGTATGTCTGTGTGAGCGTGTCAGGTTCCTTGGAACTAGAGTTGCAGACGGCTGTGAGCTACCATGTGGGTGCTGGGAATTGAACCTGGGTTCTCATTTGTAAACATAGCATTGGTAGGTAGTTCTAGCTGGCTTTGAACTTGCAATAGTCCTGCCTTGTGTCCCCAAATGCTGGGATTTAGACATGAGCTACCATGAGCAAGCAAGTAGGGACCCTCAGCTTACATTGGTTTCCTGTTACTGCTGTGGTAGCTTATCACCCTCTCGGAGGCTTTAAAACACCTGCTGATTATCTGTTTCTAAACCAGACAAGGCTTAGCACCCCCTTACCATTGAAACACTCTCCCTGACACTAGCCCTTGGAAGCCAAATAAGCTCAAATTTTCATTTGATGAGACTGGACTAATATTATCAGGACAACCCAGGGTCACCTTCCTATTTTAAATCTATAGCCCTGATGTGGTGGTTTGAAAGAAAATGGCCCCCAAAGCAAGTGGCGCTATTGGGAGGTGTGACTTTGTTGGAGTAAGTACGGCCTTGTTGGAGGAAGTGTGTACTGTGGAGGTGGGCTTGGAGGTCTCATATATGCTCAAGCCACATCCAGTGTCTTAGACTTCTGCTTGGTGCCTGCACAAGATATGGAGTTCTCAATTACCTCGCCAGCACCATGTCTGCCTGCACACTGCCATGTCCCACCATGACGATAATGGACTGAATCTCTGAACCGTAAGCCATTGAATTAAATATTTTCTTTATAAGAGTTGCCGTGGTCGTGGCATCTCTTCACAGCAACAGAAACCCTAACTAAGACACCTGAGCACATAGGCAAAATCTGTTTTGGTCTGTAATGCAACAGACAGAGCCTGGGAGTTTAAGTACGTAGTTTTGGGGCCATTCTGTTTACCTTATGAGCTTAACAACAGAGAGGATCTTAAGGGTTGGCCTATGACCAGCCAGTATGACCATAAATTCCATACCAGGCATCACAATCCAGACACCATTTGTCTGTACTCCTGTAATGGAATTCCCACGTGGGCCTTGCTGGTGTTCCCTCTAGACTGCAAACTCCTGAAGAAACAGTAGAAGAACAGTGGAAGAAGAGGATAATGTTTCAAGGTTAGAGATGAAGAAGTGAAGGGGCTTTGTTTCTAGGAAGAGAGAATGACCTACAGTGTGAAGAGAGATACCCAGGTGTATCTTTAGGTAGCTTTCCATATTGTTTTCTTAGACATCACTCTTCTGCGCACCTCACTTCTGGTGCTATTGCTGTGATAAAACACTGTCCAAAAGCAACTTGGGAGGAAAGGGTTCATTACATCTTACACTTTACTGTGACTGAGGGAAGTTAAGATAGGAACTCAAGGTAGGAACCTGTGTTATCATTTATGATGCGGGTGATGCATGGGTCCCTTGGTGTGTGGGAGACAGACAGATACACCATGCAGAGAGAGCTTGGGTATAGAGTTTATTTAGTGGGTATTGGGAATGGCATAAAAGTAAGGGACTATGAGCTGGGGAGAAGGGGAAAGAGAGAAAGAGAAGAAGGGGGGAAGGGGATAAGGGGAAGGAAGAGAGGCAGAAGCTGCCTCTTCAGAAGAAGGGGGGGAGGATTGAAGTGGGCGGGGCTTGTCTCTTAAAGGGACAGGGTACCCAGGTGACAGGCCAGGCCAGCAGGTTACAACAACCTGGAGATAGGAAATGAAGCCCACTCCTCTGGCTTGCCTTACTATAGTCCTTATAAAACCTAGGCTCACCTGCATGGAGGTGGTGCCACTCACATTGGGCTGGGTCCTCCTCCATCAGTTAGCAGTCAAGAGAATATCCCATAGACATTGCCCACATGCCAATCTGATGGAGGCAGTTCTTTAACTGAGGTCCTGTCTCCCAGATGTGTTGATTTGACAACCACCGTATGTGGGTTAGCCTTTGCCTCAGTCCCAGGAAGTGGGTACAGATAATACTGTCACCTTTTGACTGAGGGACAGTGGAAGGACAGGGAAGGAGAGTTAACTCTGCTTAACTCACAGAGTCAGTAATGGCAGAATGTTAATTCACATGGGTTCCCCAATGCTATTGTTGCAGCCGTTAACATCTGGAGACCAACTGTGTTGGAACCAAAGGAGTTTTATGTAGCCATTATGCTCAAATTTAGATGGACTCAGACACAGAAATTTTGTCTTAAATTTTAAACAAAGTGCAGGCTTGATGGCCAGTCCAAATAACCATGAGTCTTCTCAAGTGATATTTTAAAAGGAAAGTACACTTTAAACACACCAATGAAGGTGTGGTAGGGTGTTAAAAAAAGATATATTTCATTATACCATTGGGTATATGGAATACTAAATCATAAAATCTGAATGACAGGGCTGGTTCTGGGTCTGGGGCCACAGTCAGTAGGCAAAAGTGTATTAGTTACAAAATTGAAGACCTGAGTGTAGCCCCATGGACCCACATAGAAATATCAGGTGTGGTGGAATGTGTTTGAAATCCTAGTACTGGGGCCGTGGAGACAGACAGATCCCTAGGGCTTGTTGGCTACCAGTGTAGCCTAACTGACGAGCTCCAGACCAGAGGGAGACCTTGTCTCAAAGAAGGTGGATAAGCCTGAGGTTATCCTCTGGGCTCTACGTGTCTGCACGCGCGCACACACACACGCCTCTTTTCTACCCATGCACACACACACATGTGAAAAACATGCCGAGGAAGAAATACTCATGGCTTCTAAGTTTCTATCAACCGAAATATTTCACCACAACATGCCACATGATGTTGTGTGAGCTTTTTGATTACCGACTTCAATTACAAAATTCTCCATTTGTAGCGTGGAGATAACAATGTTGTCTACCTTGCAGGGCTCCTGAGTAAAGATCATTGTACTGGGTGAGGACATGGCTTGGGGCGGTGACAAAGGGGGCGGCTTGAGCATCTTCCAGGGCTCTTGACAGGATGCAACCTTCAGAGAGACCCAAGAGCAGCCTTTGCTTTGGCTCAGTCTGAGTTGTTGGTGAGCCAGCCACTCACTGCCTCTGGATGCGTTTGCTGCAGTTTGCCATTGTCCCCGAGTCAGCCCCATTTTTTCCACGTGCAACCATGAAATGCAGCATGCCAACCATTGAAATGAAGACTTTTTCAAAATATATATTAAACATAGGAAGGCGGAAAAGACAAGATTTTCTGAGTAAATTTGGAGTGTGGGGGTCATAGGAGAGGGTAGAAGGGGAGAGGGGAGTGGAGAAAAACGTATAACTCAATGAAAATAATAAAAGAGAGAAAAACATATAGTTTAAACATGAGGTAGCTGCATTATCTTTTCATCATGGTAACCAAATCCATGGTTGCTTGGTCACATGACTTTGGACAGACATCATGGTAGTGGGAGTATGTGCTGAAGAAGATTCTTCATCTAGTGGAGGGCAGGAACTAGAGAGAGAGACAGAGAGGGGCAAGAGAGAACCATCAAAGACATAACCCCAGTGGCCTCCTTCCTCTGTGTGTCTCTTCTGATAATGTTTCTAGCAAAAATGTAAATTGCAAAAACACTAATAAAGACATGGTGGAATTTTAGGTACAACATTGTCAAGTTTCCGTGTCTCCAAATAGTTCCATTGACTGGGGACCAAGCCTTTGCTTAACATGTGAACCTTTGAGGTTAAAAATGCTCCTACCCAAATGGTAACAGCAGCCAAGTATATGAAGATGGGAGAGCAAATCTCAGTTTTCCTTACTAGCTGAGCTATGTGAAGCAACCGCATTCAGGATAGGGGGTAAGAGCTATAGGGTATTTGAAAAGTTTTACCTCTCTGCGTGTGGTTCCCTTTCGTGGTTTCAGGAGCTCTGAGGTGCAGTCCCTGGTGAAGGTTTCTTCTTCTTTTCCACAGACCACAGAGGATGAGCCTTCTGAGAAAGACGCCCTGCAGCCTGGCCGCAATATTGTGGCTGCTGGTTATGCGCTCTATGGCAGTGCAACCCTGGTGGCTCTTTCCACAGGGCAAGGAGTGGATCTCTTCATGCTGGACCCGGTAGGTACTGAATGCAGCAGCATTTGTTCTTGGGGACTCCATGGGCTTCTGTGTTTGAATTCTTATTCCTTGGAATGATTTTTTTTTGATCATTTGGAGCACTTGATTTTGGAATTAGAGAACTATATCATGAAAAACATGTAATGTTTTGTATAAATAAATTTATTTTAACTGACACATTAAAAACACAAAATTGTTTATATCCAGTGAGTCCCATGTAAGGTTTCCAATGTTTAAATAATGTTAATATATCCTTCAAACATTTCTTCTTTCTTTTTGGTGAGGACACTCAGGCTCCTTTTGCATAGTTTCTGTACACACAAATGCATAGACATGAATACACAGGTGTGCACACACATGAACACACCTCACACATACATGAACACACACACAAATAAAGGAAGTGAACTAAAGCATCAGACTGCCATGAAGTAAAGACGCACATAGTGACTGAGTGATGTCTAGGAGCTACAGGCTTTGAACGAGGAAGACACAGTACTTAGGATAAAATGAAGTTAGGTTTCTTTGACAAGGAGGAAGATTTGTGGGAAAGGAGCTATATGGGCTTATTAAGACACTCGTTTGGTGATTTAAGGGGGATTTGAGGAGGAAGAGGTCCATTCTGGATGAGGTGTCATCTAGATGGTGCCCTGAAGATATTAAAATGGGGAAGAGAACCTGGGGATTAATTCAGATAGGTTGTTTAGAAATGACGTTGACAAAAAAATCCACATAAAGGAAAAATTATCATGGCCTCTTTTCTTTGATCTGTTTTATTTCTTATTCCATTGTTGCTTGTACATATAATTTTATTCTTCCTATCACTTATGAAAATACCACATGGCAGGTTCCAGATGGCCCCAGGGAAGCCCAAGTTTCTCCCAGCAGGCTGTTATCTTCTAGTATCTCCTTACTGTTGTATGGTATGCTGTTAGCTTCCTTTCCCTGGCCTGGCTCACCTTTCTGAAGTCTCTTATCGCTCCAGGCTCTTGGAGAATTTGTGCTGGTGGAAAAAGACATCAGAATTAAGAAGAAAGGGAAAATTTTTAGCCTCAATGAGGGTTATGCCAAGTATTTTGATGCTGCCACCACTGAGTATGTTCAGAAGAAGAAATTTCCTGAGGTGAGTGAAGACAGCCTGGGACAAGAGCAGGGAGCTGGTGTAGTTAAGGTGCACTTAAATGGAGTCTGTGAGCAGTGTGTTACAAATTGCTTAAGGTCAATTTACACCATCTGCATCCCTGGAGCTGAGACCGTGAGCATGGCTCGCAGGGGCGGTAAACATGCTTCCACCATGTTGGACTGTGCAGAGCCAGGCAGGGCTGTGGAGTTGGTCCTAGCTATGCCCTCTTAGCATTAAAAAAAGGCTCTCCTGGTCAGAAAATGATTACTGATATGTAATAAAGACAGATTCAGATGAAGAATATCTCTAAATGGGTCACAGTGTTGGATAAATGAACTTGGGCTTAAGAGAGAGAGAAGAAAGGGTACAGACAGTCATAGATTAAACGAGTAAAGATAACAAATATTAAACAGTAATGAAGAAAAACAAGCCATGTAAAGATGGGAAATATACAGAGAGTCTTTATTATGTATATTATTGTTGTTTCTTTGAATTTTTTGACTGAAGAGAGACATTTGATTCTTGGGGATGTTCCATCAAACCACATTAACCTGGAAGGAATCCACAGGTTCTCATCTTCTGTGGAAACAAGAGCAGAACCTCTTTTCAAAAGCTACAAATGCTTAGACCCAAATTTAGAAGTCAAGATACCTTTATGTTTGTGTAACTTAGCAGCACCTTCTCCATTCTTGCTAGTCTTAGCTGGGGTCATCCTTGTGGATTCCTGGGAATTTCCATAGCCCCAGGTTTCTTCCTAACTCCATAATGGCTCTCTCTATCAAGATATCTCTATCATTGCTCCTCCATTCCATCCCTTCCCTGATTCTAGCTTCCCATACCCTCATTTCCTCATCCTTTATCCTCTCCCCTTTTACCCTGAGTTTACCAGCAAGATCTCATCTATGCTAAACTGGGTGGTTCTCATCTCTTCCCTCTTTTATCCTATAGGGTAGCAGTACACATTATGGGGCCAGGTATGTGGGCTGGTAGTTTTCATCTCTTCCTTTTTTGTCCTATAGGATGGCAGTGCACCTTATGGGGCCAGGTATGTAGGCTCCATGGTGGCTGACGTGCATCGCACCCTGGTCTATGGAGGAATCTTTATGTACCCAGCCAACCAGAAAAGTCCTAAGGGCAAGGTAACTTCCGGAATCCACTGGCTGCCATGATAGTCAGTGAGTTATTGGGATTCTTTTGCTACTGTTATAGCTACTGATATGCTCCTGGTCACATGTTTCCTTCAGAGCTCAGAGGAAGAGAAATACATTTGTTCCTCTGAGTAAGTTTTGAAGCTGCAGTAGGTTTGGGGAAGAACAGGCTAATGTGGCTAAGACGGGCAAGTCTTACGAGCCCTCTGCTCCTCTGGCCTCAGGCCCATTGCTTGCTGCAGTCACAAGGTCATTTCCCACTTCTGTGGTCGGGTGCTCATCTCTCACTTTGTCTAGAGTCACAGGCTTTCATAGGCTCTGTCTGATTTTTATCAGCAGCACTAACTGACCATGGATTATTGAACCCCAGGGAATCAGTCTATTTCACAGAGAAAATGTAAGCATGATCTTTGCGCTTGTTCTAGAAGGGTTTGCATATACCCTGAGCTCCACACGAGAATTCAGAATAAAACCTTCTATTCAGATGGAAAAACCAAGGAGGCAGCATAGGCATAGGTGTTACCAGACAGATGCGCTGCTTCGGATTCACTGGGCCGGTGGTGCCTCCTGAGTGGTTACCAGTCCATGGTACCCATAGGTGGATACCATCTCATACATCAGGTTCCCATGGGCTGATGGCCCAGAGAAACACTCCTGTGTAGTGGCATTTCAATTATCTTTTAATAAGTAAACTTTGCATGGTGATCAGAGAGTAAAACAGCCCCACTGGTCAGCTTTACAGACCAGACAGTGGTAACACACACCTTTAATCCCAGTAGCCACACTAGTTGCTATAGAAACCAGGTGATGCACGCCTTTTATTCTAATGGTGCACACCTTTAATCCCAGCCCTAGAGAGGAATATAAAACGGGAGGAGACAGCTCTCAGATACAGTCTCATTCTGAGATTCCAGGAGGTAGGATCACCATTTGAGACTGAGGTTGAGATAGGAGCCAGTGGCTGTTTGCTTTGCCTTTCAGGTCTTCAGGGTGAACTCCAATTTCTGTCTCTGAGTTTTCATTAATCATGTTTCACTCATGCTCAGGAGTCACACAGACAGCTCAGCAGTTCACGCTGCTCTCAGTATTTAGGGGCACACCTTGGGCTATCTGGCCATTTTAAAAATGTATGCACCTGTCCTCCTTTTTCTGCAGCTCCGGCTCCTGTATGAATGCAATCCCGTGGCCTATATTATCGAGCAGGCAGGAGGCATAGCAACCACAGGCACCCAGCCTGTCCTGGATGTGAAGCCTGAGAGTATTCACCAGCGAGTCCCCCTCATTTTGGGATCCCCGGAGGATGTGCAAGAGTACCTCGCCTGTGTGCAGAGAAACCAGGCAGGCAGGTCGTGAGCCCAAACTCATGAGTCCACTTCTCTTGGCCTCGCACTTCGTTGTATGAAGGGTTAGATGAATGATCGACAGAGACAGAAGGAAAGGCGAACAAGCAGAGTTTGCCGGTCACTTTCAGAGCATCACCCTGCTGCTAAGGGCAGGTTTAGAAGTCAGAGGCGAAGATACGGCCCAAGGGCTAAAATAAAAGCATGGATGTGAAAAGAATCCCTTTCATGGTCTTCTGTCATGGGCAAGGCAGATGGGCAAAGCAGGACTTTCAGTCTCCTATCTCATATGCAGCATCTACCCAGCCACCCAAGGGTAAAGACACAAGACAGTTAATTTAGCTACTTCCTCTGCCTATATGCATTATATGCATAGTGCATGCATAGGCTTACAAATGTGGTGATTATTAGTAGAGATTTTGTTGTTTATTTTGGGCAGGTTTTGAGTTAGGAATCTCATGACTACTAACGCGGAGTTCCTCACTGAGCCCCTTTCAGTCTGTAAACTGGATAATTCATAGAAAATGTGGTTACCTTTTGGCAAATCCAGATGTCACACACAGTTTATACTTAAATTGAATACTTACAGTTTTTAATTTCTCTGTGTTTATTTTTTTTTGGAGAAAATATTTTAAGAGATCCTAGAGTCTAACAAAAATGAACTAGCCAAATGGTTCCACCTTTGCCCAAATTATGTCGAGACTAAACAAGTACTTATTTCTCTACAATATCAACTTGTTTTAATGATAGCTGATCCATATGTGCAAGATTTCACAAGATTTCTACAGATTTGACAGTGACTAATCCAAAAGACAAGTGTTCCTGCAGCTCTGCAAAATATGGGTCCTCCACAGGATCAGATTCTCATGGAATTGTCGAATAGATCTGTCAGCTGTACATTTACTATATGATACCATGGGCTCACCACAGGAATGGCAGGTTCAAAGCAGAGATATTTGTCACAGTCTATGAGACTGAATTAAAAATTGTCACGCACATAGGTTTGTCTAGCTGGCCTTTCTCTTTGTGAGTGTTCAGCTCACATTTACCAACCTGCTGACCTCAGAACCATGGAGAAGTCTGCATAAGAGGGCCACAGGAAAGGAAGACAGAACAGAGTATTCTTGCCACTCCTAGAGAATTGGAGGGAATCTTGGGTAGCATCAACAGCAATGGACTTAGCTCCCACTGTAGGTGTGGCTCTCATTAGGACACCTTCATCTTTTGGGATTTGCATAAAAACCTGTGATATTAGCAGCAGAATTTGCAGGCAGATACCTATAACTTTGCTCCTTTTAAGGTTAAGGGAAAAGAGAAAAGAGACTCAGTTGCTCCCACCCATCTCGTGGCAAGCATGAGTTAAAACCACAATACCTTGCACTTTGCAGTGCACACTGAAGTCTGGGCTGTTATAAATCATCCCAGGAAGTGAAATGAACTGGAATATTTGGAGCTAAAATAATTTTCCATGTTTTCAATGACAACCCAGAGGTCTTCCAGTCTATAAGAAATATTCACATGGAGAATTATGTGTTATATGTGGAATGGTTTGCATATTCTCTGTGTGCAGAGAAACAGGGAGTTATCTGGAAACCATTGCAGCAGAAGGCTGTGCAAAGACTGGTTGTATAATGAGACCACTGATGGTCTACAGTGATTCTATCTTCCAATGTTGGTCTGAAGACAGTGAATTATCTCTACAATTGTCCTTTCCCATAACCTGAGCTGGAATGACAACATAGGTGTTGCAGTTACTGCTTCCTCCTAAGGATAGGACTCCTAAATGTCCTTCACATATAGGAAGATTGATCAATCATGTCACCAGTGCAGCCCAGGCTTCCCCAAGACTGGGAGAAGTCTGGTAGGTTCTGTTTACTCACTGACATCAGCTTGCCGATTTTTCAGGACATCTGACCTTCAAAAAGCATCTACTGTCCAATAGGAGTGACAGCTGCCATGGAGAGAGAAAGGGTTTGGTCTGCAGAGTCTACAGTAGTGTCTGACATCACACAGAGCAAAGCAGCACTTTGTTGATCAAAGCGAGGATGCCAGCTTTTTCTTGGCTTCCCAATGGGCTCTGGATGATGGGGACGTGACTTGTAATAGTTGATCCTTCACAGGCGTCACATAGCCTTCCATTTTCCAGCCCACAGATCTGGGGACTTTACCCAACAGGGGTTTGGAAAACTCTTCCTTACTTGAGTTTCTGGCTTGTTAGGCACTTATCTGGGGAGTCCACAACTGAACACATGCATTCAGCAGACTCAACTCAGAGGTTGACTAGGCAGAGGGACCAGTCCAGCTGCCTCTGATTTACTCATTAAAGTCTAGAGTCTCTGGATCCACAACCCTGACTCTATCTCCTGCCCTTGCTTTGATTGGCTGGGTCAGCAGTCGTGTGGGACTTCAGGTGTTGAGATGGGCTCTAAGCCCATGTGAGGCAGGTATTGAGAGTTGGAGGACGGGTGAAGAAATGGAGGATATTTATCCCCAAATCCATGCTGGAGTTCATTTCTTTTCAACAGTATAGGAGGCTGGATAGGGGATGAGCAGGCCAGAGGCTATGTATCAGTCTTCACGCTTTCTGAGGTTGAGTTACTTCTCAATTGGAGATGTCATGTTTTGTTTATCTGCTCAGCCCTTGATGGGCCTTTGACAGCCTTTATAACTGCGTCTTGCTAGTGCCACTGCTGCCTCACTAGGCCACAAATGTATTTCCAACCTCTGCTTTTAACTCTCTTGGGCACACATTCAGAAGGCCTGCTGATGGGTGTCTAATTCGGCTTTCTCCTTGCTCCCACAAAGCAGGCACCACTGTGCTTTGCCTCCAGCCGTGACCAAGCTGACCAAACTGAAGTCAAGCAGTTAGGCATATTGTTTTAACACAAAGATGACACATTTTACACTCTGATAGTGTGTGTAGCTTTCTTCTTCTCAGTGCTCAGCCACTGTCTCCAGATCCCCAATGGAGTCTCTGAGCAGAATGCTCTGGAAGCCACTGACCCTGTGTGACAGACACAGCCTCATCCCTTGCTTCAGGCGTCATCTGAACAGCAACCGCATGGCTAGGTAGTCAGCACTCAAATATATGAAGGGATGAATCAGATAGCAAACAGATCAACCATATGAAGAAGGTTTAGTGCTTTAGTTATATTATTCCTGAAACAGAAACTGACCAGGTGGAAAGGAGAAGGTGAAGGAGATGAATGTAAAATGACGAACATCCAAATCGAACCAAATGACAACAGTCACTAGAACACAACAGGAAGGGATACAAAACAGCAGGCAGGGACCTATACCCTAAAACCCATCTATAGTTCAGATGTTGGATCAATGACTGGACTGTTAAATTCAGTCTATGTTAAAGGAACAATAATTTCTGACCTAACTTCTACCCCAATGACAAAGAAATAAAGCATCCTTGTGTTGCAGGAAATTTAATCGCATTGTGAACCTCGAGATTGCGTTATTTATTGGAAAAACCTGTTTCTAGTTGTGGTGTGGCTCAGCCCTAACACATACCTTTAATCCAAGAGCTGCTGACTGAATAAAGTCAGCCGTCGGTCAAGGCAGAGCAAGCAACCGGTTGATAGGAAATGAAGATAGGATTATTAAGAAAAATACCATAGAAAGTGAGAGGGAGTTAGGGGGATGGATAGAGAGACACACAGGAAGTAGAAGGGAGGGATTTTGAGTTTGAGCAGTTTTGTTTGAGATGGCAGAGCAGAGGCAGAATTGAGGGTTTGCGAGCACTTTAGCAGATAAAGCAGGCTTTAAATGGAGGGAGGGGCTGAGGAAGTCAAGGTTAGCAGTTTAGCAGGCAAGGATTTACAGTTCTAAAAGTGTGTGTACTCAGAACAGAGCATCCAGATCTATGGATAGACATTCCTAGAGTTAAAAGAGATGGACTAGAAGCAACAGTAATAGGGGCTTAGCATTCCACTCTCATGGACGAACAAATCACCCAGATTAAAAACAAGACAAAACCCCGAGAAATTAAACTGAATCTTAGGCCAGATGGCAGTAACAGAAGCCCACAGAACATTCTGTTCAACAGTGGCTGAAGACACATGCTTCTCATCAGCAAAGGAACATTCTTTAGGAAAGATCATGACAGGCCACAAAGAAATTGCAACAAATTTAAAAGTAATCAAAATCATATCAAGCATTTTTCTAACCACAATGCAATAAGGCTGAATATCAATATCAAGAGAGGACTCTGGAAAATATGAAAATGCACAGAAACCAAACAATTTACTTTTCAACAACCAACGGATCAAGGAAGAAACCCTGAAGGAAAAAAATACACACACACACACACACACACACACATATACAACATATATATATATATATATATATATATATATATATTATTTTAAAGAAAAAGAAAAGAAAAGAAACTAGAGACTGTGGGATATAACAGGAGCAGTCTAGGAAATTTAAAATAATCAGCATCTTTATCCAAACACAAGAAAAGAGGAAAGATCTCAATACATGTTCATCCTGTATTTTAAAGAATAAAAAAAAAAACCCAAAAACCCAAGAACAAGCTAAACCCAGACTTGGAAGAAGGAAAGAAATAATGAAATCCAGAGCAGAAATAAACTGCACAGAGACCCAAACAGTATGAAGATCAGATAATCATTGCATCAGCTGTGCACCAAACAACGCACCCACTAGTTTTCAGTGGATAGTCCTAACCTATGACCACATAGATGGTATCCATGAAAAGTCAGTGCGTCAGAGACTGGAGAGTCGGCTCAGGGACTGAAAACATTCTCTGCTCTTTTGGAGAACTTGGGTTCAGTTCCCAGCACCCACATAGTAGCTCACACCTGTCTATAACTCCAGTTCCAGGGCTTCTGACACCCTTACACAGGCATAATATCTATGAACACAAAATAAAAATGAATTATATATTAAGTCAGTGGATCAAACCAGGCATCAAGCCTTTAAGGCCAGCAATCAGGAGTCAGAGGGAGGAGGGTTGTGTTGTGTTTGAGGTCAGCCTGATCTGCACAGTGAGTTTCAAAACAAAATAAAACCCAAACCAAACCACATAAACAGTCCCCCCTCCATACAGGGGTCATAAAACAAAGCACAAAGGGGTGAAAATGGTAGAGAGACAGCAGGAAAGAGGGAGGGACAATGGGCGTGGAAAGGCAAACAGGAGGGTGGAAGTGAGAAAAGACAAA